TGCACAGGTTTAACTCGTTTTTTTTTTTTTTTAACTCCGCCCCGCACAGGCCCCGCGTTCCCTGCGGTCCGCCTGGCTGGCGGGAGCAGCGCCCGGGAAGGGCGGGTGGAGCTGTACCGCGCCGGGCAGTGGGGGACCGTCTGCGACGACCAGTGGGACGACGCAGACGCGGAAGTGATCTGCAGGCAGCTGGGCCTCAGGTTTGCTTTTACTGCTCTTGCTCTGTTTTGTTTCGTTTGCATTTTGGAATCTGTTATTTCCATACCCAAAGGCAGGTGCTGTCTGTTTCAATTTCACGTTTCCCTGCACGGGTAGGAAAAGCCACGTTTTGATCTTTGTGCTGGGCTGTAGGCTCCACGTGTGCTCTGTGGGCCTCACCTGCCTGTGTGTGAATTAGGTTGATTTTTATGTCACTAAGAATGTAAACTCTTACTACTGCTTTTCATTAGTAGTCTTCACAGGTAGCGTGACCAGCGCTGTCACCTGTAGCAACTTAATCAAAGTGGTGTGATGAACACTACTAGATGTTAGCTCTTAACTGATGGTAGCTCCTGGTCTCCAAAGACTGCCTAAACCTTTGAACTCCCCTTCCTTGTGTGTTAGGCATGTGCTTAGCACATAGGATGTTTATTAACGTGCAAAGGAAATAATTCCCATGCAGAGTGTGGGAAGGAAGCCGTGCAATGAAGACAGCAGTATGAACATCAGCCTTCCATTCTGCCTCGGTTGTGATTGTTCTGGAATATTACGTTATAATTTCAGATCTTCTAATCCCTTTCTTTAGTGATTCTCAACGTTGCTGTAAGAAGCTTAAAACGTTTGTCTAAAATTATATCAGGGGATCTTTTGAAAGTTAACATTTCACTTCAAATTCTTTTTTTTTTTTTTTTGAGACAGAGTCTCACTTTGTTGCCCAGGCTAGAGTGAGTGCAATGGTGTCAGCCTAGCTCACAGCAACCTCAAACTCCTGGGCTCAAGTGATCCTACTGCCTCAGCCTCCCGAGTAGCTGGGACTACAGGCATGCGCCACCATGCCTGGCTAATTTTTTCTATATATATTAATTGGCCGATTAATTTCTATTTATAGTAGAGACGGGGTCTCGCTCTTGCTCAGGCTAGTTTCGAACTCCTGACCTCAAGCAATCTGTCTGCCTCGACCTCCCAGAGTGCTAGGATTACAGGCGTGAGCCACCGGGTCCGGCCTTCACTTCAGATTTTAAAAATATTTCATTTAGCACACAGCGGGTGAGTGAGGGGGAGGCCTTTTGGGATTAAATCTTCTTTGTGTATCATTTTGTCCGGTTAGCCATAATCCTGGACACTGGGCCGTGATTTTAAACCTTGAACCATTTATACTCAATTTTTTTTGCAATTGTTTTTACAATTGGCTGTCCTGTTTTTCAAAACTCTGTTTATATTGAACTTTAGATTTTAAAGTAAAATATAGACATTTTACCATTTCATCTCTAAGTACTTCAGTATGCATCTCTTAAAAATAAGAACCCCGTCCTACATAGCCAAATCATCATTATCATAGTTAATAACTGGTAATCATTCTTAACATTGTCTAATATTCTATCCTATTCAGTTTTTAATAGTTGCCCCCACAATATCCTTGAAAGATGGTTTGTCTGAAGCAGAGTTTAGTCCAGGACGGGCAGTACATCTGAGTGCTGTGTCCCTGAGTCTCTTTGGCTCTGGAGTGGCCTCTTTTCTCTGCCATAGCACTGACTTGTTGGAGAGAACAAGCCAGTTTTTCCAGAGAATGTTCCAACTTCGGAATTCTCATCATTTCTTCTTCCTAGTGTCATTTAGTTTATTCCTCTGGTTCTTGTGATTCTTGAAATAGAGTTTAGGTCCAAAGGCTTGAAGGTGAGGGCAAGCATTTGGCTAGCAGTCATCACAGGTGACGTGTTCTCATTGTGCATCTCATCAGCGGTCACAGAATAGCTGGTTTTCCCTACACGTGAGGCTAAGATTGAGCACTGGGTTCAGGTGACAACAGCCCGATTCTTCACTGTAAAGTTACATTTTCCCTCTGTAACTGAGTGTAGGGTCTAACTACTCATTCGTAGTTCATGCATGGGGCAGGAAGAAGCATGACAAATCCTCTGTCAACAGGTTTTACCATAATTACTGGCATTGTTTACTGGTGTGATCATTTTCTTTGGACTAGTCAGGAATAGGGCCACTCAGTTCTTTTTGAGGAAACTGTAATTAATCATTAAGTTTCTGAGACTAGATTTTTTTTTTAAGTGTTCTGACTGGGTATCAATCACAGGACCAATTTTCTTAAACTTCCCATGTGTTGGTGTTGTAGTTAGCATAGCATAAGATTGTGAGAGCAACCTGAGATTGAGTCTTACTTTTGGAGTTAAGAAAAGCAACAGAACATCTTAGTCTCAGTTTTCTCATCTGTAACATACTTCCTAATTTATAGAGTTTTGTGTCTACAGAGCAGTTAGCTTACATAGTAAGTCTACCATATACATTGGATAGCAAGGGGAATCTAATTAGGTAATGTTATATATATATATATTTTTTTTTGAGACAGAGTCTCACTTTGTTGCCCAGGCTAGAGTGAGTGCTGTGGCGTCAGCCTAGCTCACTGCAACCTCAAACTCCTGGGCTCAAGCAATCCTCCTGCCTCAGCCTCCCAAGTAGCTGGGACTACAGGCATGCGCCACCATGCCCGGCTAATTTTTTTTTCTATATGTATTAGTTGGCCAATTAATTTGTTTTTTATTTATAGTAGAGATGGGGTCTCGCTCTTGCTCAGGCTGGTTTCGAACTCCTGACCTGGAGCAATCCGCCCGCCTTGGCCTCCCAGAGTGCTAGGATTTAGGCGTGAGCCACCGCGCCCGGCCAGTAATGTTATATTTTAAAATGTTATCATACGTATAAAGTGAACTGAGCATTTGATGGTTATATCATAAAACACTATTCAGAACTTCTATTTAGTTATCTATATCTATGAATTTTACATTTTAAAAACACTCCAAGTACATATATGTATATTTACTGAGTTATCAATTATTTGTGAAGGGGTATGCTAATTATTTTTCATATGAGTTACTAGGAAACCTATGTCTTTGCCAAAAATATGAAGAACTTTAACAGTATAGTAATAACATATTTAATATTACCAGTTGCAATATGGATTATTCTAAGTTTAAGCTGTAAGGCATTTTTATTATTAATATGTTTCTGTGGGAAAAAGCTTTTGTTGCTTAGAAAGATGCATAGAAACTTTAAATGACACTGAATATTAGTTACATGTATAGTTACTGAAGTGATTCTAAAAATCCATGTTGTAATGCAGACTTCTTTCTTTAGTGACAAAGATTTTTTTTAACTTATAGAAGTGGTTCTTAAACAAAGGCCATGTTGACAACAATAGTCAGTTACACAGAATATAGGGATGGAATCACAAGGAGGCACGTGTATGGGTTAAGCAAAGTGTTAACATCTTTTTCAAGCACTAGCTCATTGCTCTTTCTTGTACGAGGAGATTCATGTTTGGAAAAGTGGTTAAAAGGAAAAATATCCCTAAATATACAAGGGTGTAGAGATCCTCCACAAAGCCCTTGGAACAACTAGCAACCCAGCTTTGTAGAGATTTGTTTTTATCCTAAGTACTCTGATGCTCTGAGCTGACATGGTTCGTTTGCCTTTCTTGCACTTGATTTTTTTTTTTTTTTGACTTTGGCCTTATTTCTATATTGCACTTGATTTTATAGTTCTTTCGTAAGTGTGCATTAAAGAGTAATCTGCAACTCTTCTCCCTCTTTCTATAATCTGTCTTGCTCATTTATTTAAAGGCTAAGTACTTTCAGATGAAATAGTTTTTTAATGACACATGGTTGACATCAGAGCGTAATTGTTGCTTGTCTCAATGTATGCTTTGTTCTTAAGCAAATTTCATCTCAGTCTTATTTGCTTTGTTGAATTCCCAGAGGGCAGCTATGTCATGCCTCCCTGGAATAGTGCTTACAATTTCTTTGTGCGATGCTGTCTTTGTTGACCCTCATCTTTTAATGTTGTCTGTGTATTTTGGTAGCTGGCAAGCTTCCTAGATGCAAAAGGAATTATTGTACTTAAGATACTTAAATTTGATTAACTCAGAACTTGGAGAAAGATAAGGAGCAGGAAAGAAGGCAGCCAGATGTTAGAAAATTAGATAACTTGAGAATACATATATGCCCAGTGAAGTTTCAGGTGGAGACATTTTAATTAGAATTCCTTTTTGTTTGCTTAATATTAAAAGCATTTCCCCGTGTCTTTAAAGAACTCTTAAAAGCTGGCTTAGTCCTGTGACATCATATTTTATTGTGTGCATGTGCCATAATTTACATAGGAATTTAAAAATTTTCGACACTTCTTTCCCCTGAGGTTTTTTTGGGCTATAAAATGATCATGTAGAACCATATTATTGAGTAGTCAGAATATATTTTTTTCTGGTATAAATTGCTCTTTAAAAATATTTTTTCTCATTTATTTTACTGTTCATGGAAATAAAAAAATATATTTTATAAACTTTACAATACAGATAGCTTGGTATATGGAATTCTTGAGCAGGAAAGAGACTTTATTTGATAGGTAAGGAAGTTAGGCCCACTAGAAGGAGGGGAGGCTGGGAGAAATGGTCTTTATTCCAGATAGCCATTGTCCTCCTAAAAATCTGAGGTTCCATTATTAATGGACAAAAGGAGGGTAAAGATTGGCGAATCCCTAGCGATCTTTAAAACGTGTGTAATGGCTGAAAATATGAAGAACAACAAACACACAAACAAAAAAGAAACAAACAGAAAGTCGTGCATGACCTTTGAAGTGAATTGATAAGTAGGGATGAATAACTTTGCTTTTACCAGGGGCCAAAGAAATATGTCAGACCAGCTTTTGATGTCTAATCCGGAATCCTGTGTTCCTGCAGTGGCATCGCCAAAGCGTGGAGTCAGGCGTATTTTGGAGAAGGTTCTGGCCCCATCGTGCTGGATGAAGTACGCTGTACTGGGAACGAGCTTTCCATTGAACAGTGTCCAAAGAGTTCCTGGGGCGAGCACAACTGTGGCCACAAAGAAGATGCTGGAGTGTCCTGTACCCCACTAACAGGTGAGGATTTCACCCCATTAATACACCTGCCCCCATGGCCGTTTGGGTTAGCCACAGTGTCCCTTATCCTCAGTTTAGATAATGTCCCCAAATGAGCATACAAGTAAATCCTCCATATAAAACTAAAAAAAAAAAAAAAATTAGCACAAATTATATATTATAATACTACCTCCTTATTCACAGATATTTCTGAACTGTTCAATTTAAGGCTATACAGTCCTGTAAAACTTGACCAGGAAACATGACTTTGTTGCGATGTAGTACTCAATAATCCAAATCAGTGTGCACTGATAAAGTTCAGATATTAGGTGTAAAAGTTATGTCTTTAGTTCATTCGTCTATTAACTTGTCTTGACTCTCAGAATGTGTTTAATGTGTTTATAGCTGGTAAAACTGCAGTCATGCGATTGCTGGTTAAAGCATCCTATTAAGGAAATCAAGTGAACTTTGCTGTGCTCAGTTTTTAGACTCTTCCAGATTGTAGCGTGACTGTCAAAGCATGTCAGTTGTTAGAAGAAGGGTGTGTCTGAGTGCAGATTGGTGTGTGTGTGTGTGTGTGTGTGTGTGAGAGAGAGAGAGAGAGAGAGAGAGAAAGAGATTACATGTTGGGGGTGAGAAGAAGGAAATGGACAGTCAAGAGAAGTTGAGTTATCACAAATCCATTGTTTTTATGGTAAAAAGAACTTGAATAAAAATTTTTTTGTTTAAATCTTTCTTTAATAAAAAAATAACTTCTTAGGGCCTACAAAATACTAAATTTATATTTTTATTGATAATTCTCTGCATGCTTTTGTTTTTATTAGCAGATTAACACATTGATATTCAATAAAAATAGATAATTTATGCCAGATTTTAAACCAGAGCACTTCATCTTCTTGAGCCACAATTTCCCCCTCTTTCAAATGAAGATAGTCTTTGAGCATTGCTGTAATGGTCTGATGAGGTAATACTCATCACATGCTTTGTAGATAGTAGAGTGTTATGTTCATAAATGGTTCTGTTGCTAAGAGACCTTTATTTGCTTTAAATGATCCCAGAGATTCATGAGAAGTATGAGTTTTACCCAAGATTATTTATGTGTTTGATAGGAGGGGTATTCGGATTATTTTGGATGGAAAATGGCTTTTAAATCTATGCTTTTGGAATTTAAATTTATTGTACTACATACCTGCTTAGAAGCTCTTTTAATTATTCAGTTAATAAGATTCCAATTCAGATCTGTGTCATCAATAAAAGAACAAAGGCAAGCTGTGCGTTCCAGTTTTTATAATTCATGAATGCCTAAGGAGTAATAAATGCGTTGACATGACAGATTGCCTTTCATCCAGAATAGTTTCTTCTGTCTTCTTCTTTTAATATTTTTGATTTGCAGTTAAAATTTTGACCTATTTCCAAGTTAATATGTTTTCTTACTTTTTAAATTGAAATGACCCATGCTGCTTAGATTTAAGAGACTGATGTTATAGAAAATTTCACAAATATTTAGTCCAGAAAAATGTAGATAGATAGTTTGGAATTATGTCAGAATGTATTTTTCTACTCAGAGAATAGGAGAACATATAAAGAGGAACAGTGTCAAACTTCAGAATCAATCCAGTAACCCCTGGTCCCTGAGCACAGATGTGATACAAGTTTAACAAAAGGCCTAGCGGGAGGCCTGCATCTGGTGATAGTTCTCGTGAAGTGACAGTGCCGTTTTGCCTGTTTTTGAGAGTTGATTTGCTTAGTCTGTGTGTCCTTCTCATCACAGATGGGGCCATCAGACTCGCAGGTGGGAAGGGCAGCCACGAGGGCCGCTTGGAGGTGTATTACAGGGGACAGTGGGGCACAGTCTGCGACGACGGCTGGACCGAGCTGAATACATACGTGGTTTGTCGCCAGCTGGGATTTAAGTAAGGTTCCTTGGTATGAGGCAGCTAAATGCCAAACTATGTCTTTAAAAATATTATTGCATAATCTCTATTGTAATTTCCATAGTACTAAAAATACGTATTCACTATCATCTTTCTTTTTTTTTTTTGAGACAGAGTCTCACTGTGTTGCCCAGGCTAGAGTGAGTGCTGTGGCGTCAGCCTAGCTCACAGCAACCTCAAACTCCTGGCCTCAAGCGATCCTCCTGCCTTAGCCTCCCGAGTAGCTGGGACTACAGGCATGCGCCCCCATGCCCACCTAATTTTTTTCTCTATATATTTTTAGTTGGCCAGCTAATTTCTTTTTATTTTTTAGTAGAGATGGGGTCTCTGGCTCTTGCTCAGGCTGGTCTCGAACTCCTGACCTTGAGTGATCTGCCTACCTTGGCCTCCCAGAGTGCTAGTATTACAGGCGTGAGTTGCCATGCCTGGCCTCGCTACCATCTTTCTACTTATCTAACTATAAAGGGAAGCACAATAGTGAAAACCACGACAGTTTCTGAGGTGATGAATAACCATCTCTTGCTGTTTATCTCATGTACCTTTCCCGCTGCCACACCTCTTCTGGAATAATTGGTTGAAGCCGGGGTGACTTCTGTGTCTCTTTGTGTCTCTTCCAGTGAGACTCTGCTCCATTTTATTCTCACACTTCACTGCCATCGCATGTCGTTAGTTTTGACATCATCGTGTCTTAACATTGCAGAGAAATCTGGCGTCAAATGCTTCAGTATTACATTATTCCCTTTCTCAGAATGTGATGATAATTAGCACTTTTGTTTGAGAAAAACAGCCCTCTTGTTATGAGATGCCCTTTAGCACTCGCCTCTGCCCTCACTCTCGTAAAAGCTAAGTGTCACACACAATGCATTCCAAGTATGTCCACGTAACCGCAAATGGTGCCTTTCAGTTAAATATTGAATGAATGTCCACTCTTTCTTGTCTTTCATGTTTCTGTGTCATGCTTGAAGGAATTGTCTCGTGCTTGAAAAAAAATGGCAAAATTATTTCATTTCAGCTTGAGATAGAGTTATTTGCAAATAGTCACTAAATCTTCAAAATATACCTTCATTCAAGCTAGACAAAGCTGTGTTTAAATGTGTAGTTTAAAATTTATAAAAGTAATAGAAAACAGAGAGAGTGTGGAAAAGAAAGAAAATGAAAAACACCATCTATAATTTTTTATTCTTACACCATCATTATAATTTGTGTGTATAACTTTATATCAGCTCTAGTAGTGGACATGTAATTTTTATATCCATATTTTTTACCTTTATGTTGCTATGTAGCCATAATTTTTAATAACAATATCTGTAGAATGTTCATACCATAACTTATTTAATATTTAGTTTAATTTTTCCTGTTATAATAATGCTATCATGAAGATATAAATGCATGTAATTGTCCTATGTCTTGAATTTTCTTGGGCAGAGCAGTTATAATTATTGGGTAAAGTGTATTGACATTTAATTAATGACAATTACTTAATATGTATCCTTTTGTTTAAGTATATCTCTATTTGACTGTTAACTATACCCCAATTTCACAGATTTAGAGAGTCATAAATCCTATTGTTTACTATTTATTTTCATATTTTTCTTTATTAATGAATACAAATGGATGACTTTAATTTTTTTCCCACATTTTATTTAGTTTCACAAATCCATTCAGTTTTTTTTGTATACACAATAGTATATAAACTTACTGGTTCTAAAAATGCTCTCAATAATGTATGTTAAAAGTTTTAAGTGACTGTGTTAGAGGGTAGTAAAAGCATGTGCTACATTTAGTTTAGAGAGGAATTTTTGAAAAATACTTTTTTGGGGCATGAGAAAAAGTGTAAACTTTAGGTTTGATGTACAAATGTGATCCCAAAATAAAATGACTTCCTGTTGTATGTTGTAGGATTGATAAAGACAGATGATAATCAGATTGGGCATTTCATGTAAAAATGGTGAAAAATGATAGCAATGTGGGATTTAGGTGAATTATTTTTCTAATTAAGGCTTAATTAGTCAGAAAATAGGAAGAAGCCTTAGAATGGTCTATTAAATGTTTCATCATTTTAATTTAGTAAAATGTTCATCTTGCTAAATAAAGTTAACAAATACTTGTACAGAAAAAAATTAAGAAAACTCATGGCAGGTAGAAAGATCTCTTTATATTCTTAGCACAGAAATAATAAGAACATGAAGTCAGGAAAATGATGGACATAAAATTTATGAGTAAGAGTTGGATTTCACAGACTGAACTGAAAGGCACCTTAAAGATCCTTAAGCTCAGTGATTTCTGGAGGTTTGGATTTTATGGAACAAAAGAAAACAAACTTGGGGGGAGAATGAAAGGGTGTAGACTGACTTAATTACCAACTTTATGTTGTAGATCTTTACTATTTCTGCAATATATATATATATATTTTATATTTAGTTTTTTGGTAGTACAATGTTATAAATAAAGTCAGCTTGAACACAAATATAACTTATACAAAGTTGAGTTTATATAATCTTATGAAAAGCTAAAAACATTGTAATTCTGATTTTAATGGGCTAAAATTCAAATTTCATGATGGATTAGGAGAAGAGGTTAGCAAGGAGGCCTGGAGAAGCTGATGGAATCAGATGAGCTGATGGAATCAGATGAGCTCAGTGTTCTCAGTTTCTGGTCCACAGTGTGACTTCTATGGTCAGGAATTTGAGGTTTCTCCCTTTGTCTGCATTCTCTTTGATTGGCGGGTTAAATTGTAGACAAAACACAAGAATGGATGGGGAAAGAGGATTAGTTATTCATCAGTTGCCCACTGAAATAATAAAAAATTGTTAAGGTGACCAGCATGTGTGATGGAGCAAACATAGCTCTTAGAACTCTGTCCCCAAGGCAGCAAAAGAACAGATACTTACCGTCTGAAGTCGTGACACTTAATCAGGTTGTTTGTTTTGTGTGCTCTGGTTCCTTGAAGCAAGCGACAGCCGTCCATGTGCAGTGTTTGTTTTACTGCCACAGGTATGGTAAACAGGCCCCTGCAAACCACTTTCAAGAAAGCACAGGTCCCATATGGCTGGACGACGTCAGCTGCTCAGGAAAGGACACCAGCTTCCTCCAGTGTTCCAGGAAGCAGTGGGGAAGGCACGACTGCAGCCACCGCGAAGATGTTGGTGTCGCCTGCTACCCGGGCAGCGACGGGCACAGACTCTCTCTGGGTGAGCACTGGCTGCAGCCTCTCAAGCATCCATAAGTCAGTGGCCGCTGACCCCACCTGCTGGTCCAGAACGTGAAATGGCGTTTTTTTTTTTTTGTCTATTTACCTTAACTGTCTGTTTTTCTCTGCATAAAAATTACTAAAAATCAATCTTTTGAATCTCTCCACCAACTGTGAAATTTCTACCCCTAAATTTGGGTTTTTTTACTTAGAAGTCAAAGTTTCTAGAATGTTTATGATCCCATGCATCTGAGATATGGACTAAAGAAGCTGTGATCTCCATTCCCCTACTCCTTGGTCACCTGTTCTGTTTTTTATTTACCTTGAATTCTAATGAAATATGTGGGATAGGATTAAAAAAAAAGAAATTCTGGGGCCGGGCACAGTGGCTCACGCCTGTAATCCTAACACTCTGGGAGGCAAGCGGCGGATTGCTCGAGTCGCAAGGAAGTTCGGAAACCAGCATGAAACGAAGAAGCAGACCCCATCCTGTACTTATAAATAGGAAAGAAATTAATGGCCAACTATATAGTATATAGAAAAATTAAAGCTGGGGCATGGTGGCACACTGCTATAGTCCAGGCTACTCAGGGAGGCTGGAGGCAGGAAGGATCGGCTGAGCCCAGGAGTTGAGGTTGGCTGTGGCTAGGCTGATCCACGCACTCACCTCGGCCTGGCACAAAAGCACGACTCTGTCTCAAAAACCACAAAAAACAAAACAAATTCTGCTCTCCCTCCCACCCTGACTCTGCCCTGTGTTAATGCTTCTGTTTCTTTTCTAATCCGAGTCTTTCACTGGCTTTCAGTGCTCTCTCGAGATTGCTGGGGGAAGAGGGGGCTGAGTGGATTCCTTGAGTTAATAGGCCCACTCATCTTCTAAGATGCTCTTGTATTCAGAAACCCGATCAGAGACCTTTGCTACTCAATACAATTGTTTTTTAGATTTGTAGTTGGATAAAGGGTAACTAGCTCCTCTAACAGTTTTGAATAATTATGGATACAGAATTTTTATAAGCAAAGAGAATTAAACATTCTGACAGATTCTTAATGTCTAATAAGTAGGGCAAAATAAATACCACTGGAAAATACAGAAGGAAGCATTCAAAGACTTTCCGAAATGCTATCATAGCTCTGTTATATATTCGTTAATATATCTACACATGCATTCGTGTGTGTTGTGTGTGTGTGTGTGTGTGTTGTTTGTGTGTATAGATGTTAAAATGCCATGTAGGTTGTCTTTTAGCCTCAGGATCGAACCAACCCCTCTTGTATCCATTTGTTTTGGGACTGTGAAGCTGAAATCTTTTTTTTTTTTGAGACAGAGTCTCGCTTTTTTTTTGCCCAGGCTAGAATGAGTGCCGTGGCATCAGCCTAGCTCACGGCAACCTCAAACTGCTGGGCTCAAGCAATCCTCTGCCTCAGCTCCCAATAGCTGGGACTACAGGCATGGCCACCATGCCCGGCTATTTTTTCGTACATATATTAGTTGGCCAATTAATTTCCATTTATAGTAGAGACGGAGTCTCGCTCTTGCTCAGGCTGGTTTTGAACTCCTGACTTTGAGCAATCCCCGCCTCGGCCTCCCAGAGTGCTAGGATTACAGGCGTGAGCCACTGCGCCCGGTCAAAGCTGAAATCTTCACATTATAAAGTAACAAAACTTGTTGAATCCCACAGTATAAAGCATATTGCATACTTTAAGTTCGTCAAAGGCATGGTTGATTCCTCGTTGTACTCTAAACGGTGAGATCGTGGTGACTCACTGCACTAATCTAGCATTTTATCAAGTAGAAATACAAATTTTTAGTCTATCCCTTTCAGGTTATATTTCCAATTTTCTTTCTTTTCATTTGTTCTTCTTGTCCCTTGCTCCATTCTTCTTACGACCCCCCAGGATTATGTGATGAATGATTGCGTGTGTCTGGGGAGAAAGAGCCTGTTTGCTAGACAGGGACCCTCTCAAACCCAGACAGCAAGTATTAGGATCACGGGGGGATCAATCCAGACGTGCTCCATTGCCACATCCAGTGACAAAATGCCATGTAATCTGAGTTCTCTGAAGGCCTGTGTTGTTAAATATATTGAATGCTTAGGACAGCTGATCTTTTCAGTTCCCCTGAAAATCTTTTCAATTCTAGGACTCTAAATGTATTTTTTAAAAATTTAAAAAGCTGAGGGTGATAACTATGAATAAAATATGTGATCACTATTATGAATCTCTTTGGTTCTATTCTAATCTCAGTAATGTGTCTATTAACTAAAGTCATTTGTCCAAAGAACATTATGTCTGAGCCAAATATCTTTTCGGGATATAATCATGTTACCATTTATTCATTCAAATAGATCATTACTTTCCCACTTATTGAAAAATACTGTGTATTTAAAAGATAAACCTAGAGAAGGCGGTCATGGCTTACTGATACAAATAACAGCATTTAAGAAACAATAGAGGTTTTTACTACTTTGGCACGACGATATTGAGCTGCTGGACTGTTGTTGTCTTCAGCTAGTTAAAGGAGAACTTCTGCACTTGAACTTTAAATGTGAATGAAACTCGTGTCAAGATTAGTTTTAGCCCTATAGACACTCTTTTTGGTCTGCGGTAGGTGGAATACTCAAAAGTAAGATTCTAAGTCAGTAAAAGTGATTCTGGTAAGAATGCAGTTGATGCCTGTGTGGGTGAGGGGCAGTTTCTGGGGAGTAAATAGGTGGACTTCTCACTTGAACATGACACTGATTCTCAACTTCAGAGTATTAAGCCCTAGCAAAGATTTCTTTCCCAGTGAGGTTGCCTCTTACTCCATTTTGCAGTATAAAATTAGACTTTAAATTTGTATTTATGCTATATTTTGTTTTTTTTCTAGGAGATAGTATTATTTTCTGAAAATAGTGTATTATATCAATGTTACAGGAAAAATGAAAGAAAACTGCTAGAAATCAATTTGCTAGAGGTCACTTTCTCAACTTTTAAATCTGAGTAATTTTTACCACTTAAAAGTCCCTTGGAACCAGTAGTAAATAGAAAGTGTTAGATAGGAGTTGTCCCTATTAGCTGCCTTTTTTCCCCTCTTCTGCTGTTAGACCCATTCCAGTTACTCATGTGTGCCAAGCTTGTGTCTGTCCATGCCTTCCTAAACATCTTAGCTTTGGAGTATAAATTCTTAGCTGTGTTCGTGGATAAATGGACGGACATGAAATAAAAACAGCCCAAAGTTAATGTTTTTTTACTATTTAGAAGTTAGATGTAACAAAATGATTTACCATTTAATAGTGCTGTTCATGCATTCATTCATTCATTCAGTAAGCAGCCATGGTGTCACCTCTGTGTGCCACTCACTGTCCCCAATCCTGAGAATGCAAAGTTGGGCAAGGTGAGCACTTTGACGTCAAGGCTTCAAAAGATATGACACAAGTGGATGCAAGTTTTTGTTGATCTCTGTTAAAAAAAAAAAGTTTTGCCCAGCTGATTTTATTATAGCTGATTTAAAAGAACTATTGTATTTTGTAAAGTCTCTCATGCTTCTGCGTCACTTTGCTTGTTCTGGCTCTTCTAATACTCTTGAATGATGGCCTAGGTTTTCCTATCAGGCTGATGGATGGAGAAAATAAGAAAGAGGGTCGCGTGGAGGTTTTCATCCACGGCCAGTGGGGGACAATCTGCGACGACGGGTGGAGCGACAAGGACGCGGCCGTGGTCTGCCGACAACTTGGCTATAAGTAAGGAACCTCTGGGGTGGTTACTGTTGCCGTTTCTGACTTTTCATGCTTATTCTAACGAGTTACTTTTTACCTAAAATTAGTTTATATCATTCAGTTGAAAATACTGGCAGCACATTGATTTGATTCAGAATTATAACAAAGTAATAAGTAGAGTCTGTTCAAATTTTTCTGTCTTCTCATGAGAAACCTTATGTCATATAAGAAATGTAGCTTTTTATCTAATCACAACATAGTCTAATAATTCTGATCAGTCATAATACTGCTTCTGTCAGACAAAGCTGTTAACCTTTGCGATTTATGTTTCAACACTAGAGCCTTTTAAGGGATTCTAGAGGATTGAAGTTACCTTTGGTTCTCATGACTTGAATTAGCAAATAGCAAGCTATTACTCCTAAAGGTGGGGCCAGTGCTCTACTTGCTTGTTTCAGCTCTCATATTTATAAACAATTGCCCCCTTTTTTTTTTTTGCAGTCAGTTGCACCTTTTTTGCATTTCTGTGCTTTTCTGTTGATAATTTCACTGTTTAATCATGGCCCCCATTTGTGGCACTGAAGTGCTGTGTAATGTTTCTAAAGGCAAAAGGCCACAACGTGACTTAGGGACAAGAGGGGTGCGTTAGCTACAGGCATGAGTGACAGTGAGAAAAACATGGCACTGAAGAGAATGTGATAAGGACACTTGCCACAGTGTGAGAGCTGAGAGAAGACAGCAGGTCATCTCCTGTTCAACCTCAGCTAGGTGACTCAGACTTTTCCTGGCTCTGCATATGTCATGAATGACTGTGAGAGCACCCTGGGTATTGATTTTGGAGTGAAAAAATATGGAAAATGTTGTCATTTAGAGGGTTCTGACATTTAAGCTGATCTACCTAAACTGCGTAGCTCATGGTAGACCACTAGTAGTGGTTTGGATTTGAAAACACACCATTAATATATATCTTATTGTAACCTTAAATATTGATTCAATTGGTTATTTCTATGTAGAATACATGTTTATTTTTAAAAGTATTTCTTTTTTAATAGAAGTTCAAGGTGTTTTCTTTTTTTTTTTTGTATGCTTTTAATTCAAATTTTAGTTATTTAGATACTACTTCAATTTACTGCTCAGTTTTAGACCTCATTGTAATCCCAGTTGTCCTATGGTCAATGAATGCTTTATTTGTGACAAAGATTTTTAGTTTTCAAAATATGGAGTAGTAGAGGAAGACAGGAAGAGTCTACCTTAGATGACTAGGTGAATAATTTTTAAAAATTTCCTTTGTTCATTATGCGTCTATCACTCTTTTCTCCATTTGAGAAAAAAATTACTAATATTATTCTTGTTCTTCCATTACATTCCCAGTGTGTTTCCTCACCCAAATTGACCATTAAAAGATATTGCTGTTTGGACTGGTTTATTGGCCATACTTTTATTTTATTGTTTTGGTGGAGGTGATCCAAGACACCTAGTATTATTTTTAGAGATAGAAAGGGAACCGATGTAATAAAGTAGCTGTAGGGTATGACAACAACGAAGGAGTAGTTGTGACCTGTCTTATTTAGGTTTCTTTTTTTTTTTTGATAGTCATGAAATAAATGGTTCTTAGCACATGCAGCTGCTGATTTTAATTTGCAAAAATTAGGGAAGAAAATCGAACGTGAGCACATGTTGTGATTTATTCAGATGCATGATTGACTGACTCTCCATATGCTTAAGGATGCTCTGTTTTCAGGGGTCCTGCCAGAGCGAGAAGCATGGCTTACTTTGGGGAAGGAAAAGGACCCATCCACGCTGACAACGTGAAGTGCACAGGAAATGAGAGGTCGTTGGCTGACTGTATCAAGCAAGATATTGGAAGACACAACTGCCGCCATAGTGAGGATGCAGGAGTTATTTGTGATTATTTTGGCAAGAAAGCATCAGGTAACAATAATAAAGGTAAGTCACCTTCTGGGGCCCTAAACAAGCCAAAGAATAGTGATCCCCACCTCATTACTACAAGGAGGGTGTTGGTAGCGAATGTCCTGTGCAGCAAGAATGTATGCAGTCGGTGCCTATTCCTCGTGGTAGTATTTGGAGCAGTGGTTCTTGGCAAACTTGCCTAGGCAGGGCTTGCAGAGAGAGCATGCTTCAGGGGTAGGAGCGGATTTACAGAAACTGTAATCCCTGGGATCATCCCTTTGTACACTCTTAGCCGTTCCTGTATTTCCTTCTTTGGATGAAATAAAGCTGTCCCACTTGCTGCTATCCTTGAAGACCCAGAATTGACATTTACATCATAAAAAGGGAAAGCAATGAAAATATAGAGATGCATCCAGCAAAGGCACTTCTTCACTCTTATTTTATTCTGTTTTATTTTTTATTTAATTTTTTTTGAGACAGGGTCTCTCTCTCTCTCTCTGTTGCCCAAGCTGGAGTGCAGTGGTGTGATCGTAGCTCACTGCAACCTCCAACTTCTGGGCTTAAATGATCCTTCCACATGAATCCCTCAGAGTAACTGGGACTACAGGTGTGTACTACCAAGCCCTGCTAATTTTTAAAAAAAAGTTTTTTGTAGGGATAAGGTCTTGCTGTGTTTGCCCAGGCTGGTCTGAAACTCCTGGCCTCAAGCAGTCCTTCCACCTTGGCCTCTCAAAGTACTGAGATTATAGGCGTGATGCACCGCACCTGGCACACTCCAATATTTTAAACAGCAGGGCTAATATTCTGAAATTATTTCAGAAAGGAAATAATTTGTTATAAATTTTATTTTCTGAAATTTAAAAATTTAAGGAAAATGAGAAGTAATCTTTTAATATGGTACAATAAATATATGTTTAATATTTAGAGTTTCTGAAAGCTCTGGGTATATTTAATTTTTATGAAACAAATAGTTTTTTACATGAATAAGTGGGAGAATTAGCTATTTTGGACAAATCTGTGGCTACATTTTATGAAAAGAACAATTATCTCTTTATCTGTATTAAAAGTTCGTATTTTTGTTACATTGGCTTTTGTTAAGATCAGGTACATCTAAGTATTTGAGTATTCTCCTTTAATAAAACCTTTTAATAGCTGCCAAAGACAATGCAATAAATGAATTGGATATTGGGTTTTTTTTTTTTACATTTAAAAACATGTTTTTTCTTTTAAGCATTTTATAGCATTCTGGATGTTGTTAATATGATTCTTTACTATCTGAGCTACGAGTGTCGAAGCTCAGGAGCTTTTGAGTGTCGAAAGAACATTGACAACTCCTTGTGCTTTATTTTTTAATATATACATAAACATATACATATGTTTGCATATATGAATTGGTAAGACAGTTTTCCCTAAATGCTGATTATTAAATAACCTTCAATAATTTAAACTACTCTTATAAATTGAATATAACTGATTCTTTGGATTATGTCACATTCCTTAAGTAATTATAAAATATAAAAATGCTATAACTGTGAAATATTTTACTACACTTCTATGTAAACCTATTCTAAAATATGAGATACCCTGACTTTGTTTCTTCATTGTTTATATGTTTGTTTTTATGCCTTCCTAGAGTTGTGGCAATACTTATTTTGATACCTTTCCATGATTAGAACAATGTTATCATACCTCAAGTGAAAAGATTTCATGCTAGACTAGCTAGATTACAGAAACTGGCTCATGAACCAGTTGATTTGATATTGAAACTCAGGACCTGATGACTTCTATGAGGTGATTCAAAGTCAAGTCATTGGTTATTGATCATCTGATGGGCTCCTTTTATAAATGAACTTCACTTTGCTATTTATTTATTTATGAGACAGAGTCTCACTTTGTTGCCCAGGCTAGAGTGAGTGCTATGGCATCAACCTAGCTCACAGCAACCTCAAACTCCTGGGCTCAAGCAATCCTCCTGCCTCAGCCTCCTGAGTAGCTGGGACTACAGGCATGCGCCACCATGCCCGGCTAATATTTTCTGTATATATTAGTTGGCCAATTAATTTGTTTCTATTTATAGTAGAGACAGGGTCTCGCTGTAGCTCAGGCTGGTTTGGAACTCCTGACCTTGAGCAATCCGCCCGCCCGCCTCGGCCTCCCAGAGTGCTAGGATTTATTTATTTTTTTATAACAGTTTATGGGTTTAAATACATTTTATTTTCTTGCAATCTGGTGCTTTGTCCCAGAATGATGTAAACTTCAGGTTTTGCTTGGTCACTCTTACATCATTCCTTTTCTTGGCATCATATACATTGAGCCAATTTGGAGCACTATTGGAAACTTATGTTTTTTTTCTAATATTCTATAATATGCAGTGTCATCTAGAGGACTCATATGCTAAGAGATGAAGTTAAAATTTGACAGCATGCCTCTGAGATCATTTGGCAAATTAATCATCTTGGTACACATTGTCGAGCCTCTTTGTCCATCAAGAAATAACTACTGCTAATTCCCTATTGGGCTCTCATCTACCTGAGTATTATGGGGGACCATTAGTGCTGATTAGGTCTTCATGTTCTTGGCAAAATTCCCATCCTTCTGTCCTTACACAAATAGAAAGAGTATATATCTATGCTTGATACACATATACTTAACCAAAGAAGCAAAGCACCTCTATATCCATTCTCCTACTTTCTAAAATTATTTTAAAGATTAGTCATACCTGTTATATTTGCCCTTCTTTTGTACAGCACCTTTTATGTAGTTTAAATTTAACTCTTCTCTTTTGTATGTTTGTGACATAAGTCTGTTACCTTGGGAAGTTTGACTGTATACCCTTAAACACAGTTTACCACTTAAATTGGCTTAGCAAACCCTTTTCATATGTTAATACACCGAGTAAATGTAAATTCAGATCAGAATTCTATCCTGGGAATGTGATTTGCTCCTCTGAGTTACATTTTGATGTATGGCTCGGAACAGTGTTGTATTTGGAAAGTAAGTAATTGAGACCATTACTGCCTTTGCAATTCTCTTTCTTTGTCCAACATTTCTGAACTCCAAGACAACCTCATAGTCGGAGCAGGACATGTAGGTACCGAACAGGACAATGCTCTGGCAGGGTTACACAATTCAGAAGGCCCTGAAACCCTTGGAGCTGAATAATGGGAAACCTCATAAAATATCTCATGTGCTTGTAACTTACTACTGTTTGGTCGAATGAGAAACTTTTTATTTTCTTATAGGAAAAATTATCCTATAATTTGCAGAGAAAGGGATTTTTTTGGAAGGGGGAGGCAAGGTTCACTCTGTTGCCCAGGCTAGAGTGCCGTGGCATCACCTAGCTCACAGCAACCTAAACTCCTGGGCTCAAGTGATCCTCCTGCCTCAGCCTCCCGAGTACCTGGCCTACAGGCATGTGCCACCATGCCCGGCTAATTTTTCTATGTATTTTAGTTGGCCAATTCATTTCTTTCTATTTTTAGTAGAGACAGGGTTCCCTCTTGCTCAGGCTGGTTCGATCTCCTGAACCTTGAGCATCCACCGCCTCGGCCTCCCAGAGGAAGGGCTTTTAACCTAGAGGAAGACATCCGGGGAGTATGCCACTCATGTCTTTACCCCTCATCCGCAGTGGTGGTCTATACTCATGACCTCTTGCTGCTTCAGGGCCCCTCTCGTCCGTCTGTGGTTTGAGATTGCTCACGTCGGCAAGAGAGCGGATCATTGGTGGGAAAATCTTTAAGGTAAAATGTTCTTTCAAAGGAATTTCCCAGTATTAAGGAATTTTTATATATACATATATATATTAGTGTTAACAACAAGGATGGTTCTGTTATTATATAAGGTGATTCGTTTTATTCATTTCATTTCTAAACTAAATGCAGACTACACTGGTAATACACTGTCCTTTGACCTATGTTTAATGCATATAGACCCTGTTCTTATTATGACCACTGTCTCTGCCTCATGAGAAGACGTGTTGCTGAAAAGTCACGCGGCAGAGACAAAATAGTTTAACAAGAACCTAAAAAATGTCTCATGAAAAGATTCATTTAATTTAGAATATATTGTTTCAGACTTGATTCTTTAGTATCAATTGTTACTTGTTGAGTTTACCAGGAAAACAGCACTTTGTTTATTAGATACTGCTTCAGACGCTTGAGGGGTTAAGTGAGGAAGAAAGGACACGTCGAGTCATGAAGTGTGACAAAGACTCCGCTTGTTCCGAGAGTGTCAGGGGCAAGGCGGAAGCTTGCCGATCCTGCCAGCAATCTGCCCAGCTGCTGGATGGCAGGCCGGAGTTGCTGGGACACCTTCTCAAGCGGCGGGAAGCGGATCTTACATGCTAAACCAGTTGTTTCTCAAACTACGGCCCGCGGGCCACCTGCGCCTGTCGAGGACATTTGTCCGGCCCACAGGTGTTTCGCTGCCGCTGCCTGTCCTTTAGCAGCCGTCCTGGTCCGGGCCCACAGGTGCGCATGCGTGGAATGTGCGCCGCGCTCTCCTGGCCCTCCAGCGTCTGAGGGACGGTGAACTGGCCCCCTGTTAAAAAGTTGAGGACCCTGTGCTAGAGTCCCTTTTGTATCTGTTCCTTGTTCAAGTCGTTGCTTTAACTGGTGGTCTTCTCTCTTCTCGCTCCTCTCTCTTTTTTATGACCTTGCTGTGTGGCTCACTTCCTTCTTAGGGCGGTGGCCTTGGCAGGTTTCCTCGGCTGAAGTCACCCACGGGACGGCAGGCTCTCTGCGGGCC